TCTTCCAGTCCTCCGGCACCTCTCCAGAGCACCACGAGTGTTCATAAAGCCGTGCCAGGGGACTTGCAATGACCCCAGCCAGTTCCTTTAGGACTCTAGGGTGAAGATCATCCGGGCCGGCTGACTTAAAAACATCCAGCCCCTCCAGAAGCTCCCTAACTAAATCCTCACTCACTCTAGGCCCAGGTGAGCCTCCCCCGGGACCCGAAGGGGGCCCAGCAGGGAGGTGGCAGTTCTGGTCCTTACTGAGGAAGACAGAGGCAAAGAAGTTATTAAATATGTTGGCTTTGTCATCTGGCATGACAACCAGATTCCCCATCTTGTCCTGCAAGGGCCCCACATTTCCTGGGGCCTTCTTTCTACTCCCTATGTATTTAAAAAAGGACTTCTTGTTGTCTTTAATCCAGGAAGCCAGCCCCTGTTCCATCTCTGCCTTGGCCTTCCTAGGGCCAAGAGAGAGACAGTGTCAAAGGCCTTCTTAAAAGTCTAGACACCATCATCCAAGGATTTAGTTACCTGGTCTTAAAAGGCAGTCAGTTTGGTCAGGTAGGACCTGCCTTTGATGAACCCATGCTGATTGCCCCTGAGCATAATCTCCCCTGCGGGCCTCCTCCCCCCACAGATGTGCTCCTTGATGATTCTCTCCAAGATCTTCCTGAGCACCGAGGTGAGGCTTACGGATGTATAGTTACTTGGGCCCTCCTTCCTCCAAGGGAAGCTGAGTTTGGATATTAAGGAAAAACTTTCTCACAAGGAAGCTGGTGAGGCACTTGGGCTACCCAGAGGTTGTAGCATCTCCATCCTTGGAGGTTTTTAAGACGCAGTAGACAAAGCCTTGGCTGGGATGATGTAGATGGGGCTGGTCCTGCTTGGAGCAGTGGGCTGGACTAGATGTGACCGCCTGAGGTCCCTTCCAGCCCTCGCTGTCTAGGATTCTACAGCCTTTGAGAAACAGAGTTTCAACAAGCTCTATAGAAAAACCCCTTTTGATGCTGGTCCCATAAAACCATTTGTTCTTTCTACTTAAAATTTCTTCCCAGTATAAGATGCTTGTAGAAAACCAGCGCAGAGCTTGTCTACGCTAGAAGGCCGTACTGCTTGCAGCCTCTCCAGCATGTACAGTAGTGCCCAGGCACAAATGCTTATATTGCTTACTTACTCCCCTGGGGGAAGAGAAAGAAATACACATGTAGGAGCCCCAGTTATCTGGGAAGCACTGTGTTTAAAGAAGTGTTACTGTCCTGGTTAACAACCACACCCAGCCCAAGGCAGCTGGAGGGGTCTGGTTATCCAAAGCGGAGACCTGCCTTTTCCTAAAGCCTGATATGTGAGCTTTACACTTGCCAGAGTCTGCAGGACTCATGCCATGCTCCTGCTATCAGAGGTTCCCAACCCCTGGGCCACAAAGGGTTGGCTGCTGGTCCACAGGAGGCTTGGCTGTCGGACTAAGTCTGGAAGTGACCAGCATACTGCAGACCGGCAGCCATGAGTTTTATACTTAGTATAAAAAAGGGTTGGCTGTCAGTCCACAGTATGCTGGTCACTTCTGGACTGTAGTATTCTGGTCCACAGTTTGCTGGTCTGCAGTCATTTCTGGTCCATGGTTTACCAGTCCATGGTCTAAAAAGGTTGGGAAGCACTGACCTACATTACACAATTCACTGGTGAAGCATGCAATAAATGGAGACAGGCCATATGTTACCTATATTATGTAATTCACTGGTAAAGTGCCACACAGATAGGAGCGACGGCTGGATAAAAATGCCTCTTCAGCTCTATTAAGAGCCGACCCTGTATAAACTTAGGGCTTGAAAATGTGTCACAACTCCAGAGCTGGTTTCTCTCTGGCTTTCATTTGAACGTGAGGCACCAGGCACCGCCATGCTGGTGCACACCTCCGCAGCTGGCCGGGCTGGGGGACAGAGGCTGGGCAGGAGAGCGGGCTCGGGTGTGGAAGGGCAGAGCTGGTGCGGATACGAAGTACCTAGAGGCCAATCTGAGGCGACCACTTCCCCCCTGTGTGCCGGCTGCGGCTTCCTCTGTCCTGCTGAGGCAGCTCCTCCGCGCCCTCGTGGCCCTGAGGCGAGGGAAGGAGCCACTTTCACTTGTGCCTCTGCACCCTCAGTCTGCCTGGCTCTGGGGCAGCAGCAACCCGGACTGCTCCGCCGGCTGCCACCGTGCTCCACACCTTTGCCTCAGCACCCACTGAATGACTGTTGGGGGCACATTCTCTCCCCCACCCATAACTGTCGGGGACACATTTGCTCCCCCCCATGACCACTGGGGGCACACCCCCCCCTCAATAACCATTGGGGGTACATTTGCCCTCCCATAACCGTTGGAGGGCATGCTCATCCCCCTTGTGATTGTTGGGGTCAACACTCCCTCCCTCCCCCTAGTGACTGTTGGGAGCACACTTGCCCCCCTCAATGACCACTGGGGGCACACTTGCCCTCCTATGACCTTTGGGGTACTCGTTCACCCCCCCATGACCATTGGGGGCACATTTGCCCCTCATTCCCATGACCATTGGGGGCACACTCACCCCCTTGATGACTGTTAGGAGGTTCACTTGTCCCCCTTGTGACCATCGGGAGCACATTCACTCCCCCACTGTGACCACTAGGGGCACACACCCCTTCACTGACTGTTGGGGGCACATTGGACCCCCCTCCCATGACCATTGGTGCAACACTCACCCCCTCAATGACCACTGAGGGAACACTTGTCTCCTTCATGACCATGGGGGGGGGCTCATTCATCTGCCTCCCCGACCACTGGGGCCACATTCGCCCCCCTCATGACCGTTGGCGGCACTCACTCCCCACTCACGACCGCTGGGGTCTCCAACAACCGTTGCGCCCCGCCCCGCCTCCCGCCGTGTCCCGGATGTGACCCCCCCCACCGCGCGCTGCCCGCGCTTCCATACAAGGGCAGTGCCTGCGGCCCCGCCCCCGCTCCGCCTCCCGCGACCCCCAC